ACATCTCATACAATTGGTACTTGGCTGCTAGTGTAACAAACCACTCTTCTTGGTATAAATATTTTAGGATCAATAGAGATTATAACAATAATAAAGACTTCAACTGTACAGTCCAACTTTCGTCTCAAACTATGGTACGCGTACCACCAGTGGTATGCCGATTGTTGTCAACTGAGTGATTTTACGGCATTAGCTGTTCTGAAGTAGATAAGAAACTATATAGTGGTACAATAATTTGATCGAGATTTTAAAAGTGGTACGCAAAGAAAGAAGTTTGAGAATCCCTGGCCTAATACAAACGAAGATCATTGATATTTTTTTTAAACCAGTTATTTTGAAGAACAAGTAATTACGATACCCTAGGATTAACTTTCATGCGAACCTAATTCATTTCTCAGAAGATAAGGTAATATTTTATATCCCCGATATTTTGCATAATACTAATTATACTAACTCGGATTATTGCCAGTGAAGCTCTTGGCTAGAATAGATTGTATAAATATAAATAAAAAAATGTAATAAGCCAGATTCCAACCGAAACGACTATATCTATGACCAGCATAAACTGTTTAATTTTGAGACCTGGCATATGAATACCTCCAAAACCAACGGTATTATCCAATACTTCCATGTCCGTGATATACCTAACTATATAGAACATGGAAAAGGCGAAGCTACTAGGTATTGATGGCTCTGTTTCTGCTCAGTTTTGTGCTTGTATTATATTGTTGATTAATATCACCAACGTCAACTCTAGGGCAAAACTGTTCGTTTTATTATGCTAAGACAGTACAATTCAGTATTGCTCCGTAGGCGTCATATATTTATAGAATAGTTTTACTAAACTACTGTTGTATTGTAGTGAACCTTCTTTTTAGGATAACCTATTCTAATATAACATTTTTCATCGTTGCCAGTTTCTGTATAGCATAAGCTCTTCTCACACCATAGAATGCGACACTTGCCACACCCTGTCTATTCTCACACCATAGAATGCGACACTTGCCACACCCTGTCTATTCTCACACCATAGAACGCGACACTTGCCACACCCTGTCTATTCTCACACCATAGAACGCGACACTTGCCACACCCTGTCTATTCTCACACCATAGAACGCGACACTTGCCACACCCTGTCTATTCTCACACCATAGAATGCGATACTTGTCACACTCTGTCTATTCTCACATTATAGAATGCGACACTTGCCACACCCTGTCTATTCTCACACCATAGAACGCGACACTTGCCACACCCTGTCTATTCTCACACCATAGAACGCGACACTTGCCACACCCTGTCTATTCTCACACCATAAAATGCGACACTTGCCACACAATGTCTATTCTAATACCATAGAATGCGACACTTGCCACACCCTGTCTATTCTCACACCATAGAATGCGACACTTGCCACACCCTGTCTGGGATAAACTTTTCAAATATCACCGTATTTCATTGTTTTCTTTTTCTGTTTGTGACAATTATTATGTAAACCTAGAAATCCGAACAGCGACTCCTGACTTGAGAATCTCACATTTAAGAGAAATTTTTATAACAAAGTAAAATTCTTCAACAGCCAATTTTTTTAAAGGATAGATAATCTTAGCAATGAACTATATTCCCGTCATAAACATTCCGTTACTAAGTATTATGACTCTATTAACCCTACGTTCTGTCCGTATAAACTCGTTTAATAACCTACAATTCCACATGTTACAGGATTAACCTGTCTCTAGGATATGTCGATCTTTCATGTTATATAATAGATGTATAGTAACACAATATGACATTAGTTTCTTTATTTAACTTCAAAGTATTCTATAGCTGTCAATTGAAATATTCTAATAGCCATGTTCTACAATCGTCCGGGAAGATCCTTGAGTCGGCTGATATAGCTCAAGAATCCTACTAAATTCCGTATTTCCAAACCAGAGAAGAAGAAAAAACTGAGACTTGCATCATTCAGTGTCTGCAAAGTGGGTAGAGCCATGAGTTAAGATCGCACCTTCCACAGTTTTCGTTTTTCAGATTAAATTTGAATATGTCAGCTTGAAAACGTTTGTCTAGAAACAGCCAGATTTCTAATTTATTCATTCTCCTTTTATGATAGATTATTCTAATTAATGAGAAGCCCACATAGATAGCTATTTTATATCTGGCAATAAACTTTTCTATTAATCAGAATATTTACGATGCCACATTATACGTATGAGAAATTATCACAATAATTACAAAGAGTTTTAACACACATTTCATTGAATCAGAAAAAGTTGGTGTCTTGATTTAGTTCGATAAAGATGATCAATAAATTATAACTGAAGTCTGAACTTACAGCGTTGGTTTTATGTATGAATGATTTAAATAATATTAAAATGTTAACTTGATACAATGTCACGTTTTATAACTTTCTTTGGCTTCTGCTAGTTGTTAGGAAAACACTTAGACACTTACAACTGAATATTTCAAATGAGAACATTCTCAACTCGATTCTAATTTAAAATAACATTTGGTCCCTTAACACATCTGACTTTACATACTCTCAATTTCTGTATGAAAAGTACATAAATAATCCAAATCCAAACTAGGTAATTATATTTTTAAGTGTTTGAGCCCAGTGTGATAAATTTTTTTATTAAGCCGTATTAACATAATAACTTGTATGAAAGGCATCTTTATCAAATGTAGCCTTAACAAGAAAGAAGAGTGAGTGTGAAACTGATACTGAAGTGGAAGCTTTTCCAACAGTGCAGCAAGATCACATACGATGAGCTGAATGTGAGCCCCATAGGACCCAAATTACGAAATGGGAAAAAAGAGCTTAGGCTTTAAGAAATATGAGCTGTAAAATTCTCTTATATATACTTGCATGCGTGGCTTGTTTCTTTGCCATTTTTCACATTAAAGTTATACTGAGTTATGCATCTTTGAACAAGACTTTTTTTCAAAACAATTTATCAGTAATCCTTCGAATCCCAACTCGTTAGTAGTTAATGTTATGCACGTGACAAACATGTCTATTATGTCTAACACATTTTTATCTTATCAAGTATATAACATTTTTATAGTAATTGAAGCTTGTAATTGAGCTATACTCTTACAAGAACACCTAACAATGAACGCCTGAGGCCTTAGAAAATATTGATTTAAACCCTATTTATATGATTTTTATCGACGATGTTGTAATATAAGACATAAAATGTACGTATGCGCAGAAACTGTTTTATATTTCAAGATGAGCCATTAGTATAATGTCGTGTGGTTTTACGATTGTAATGACTTGAATTAACTGACAGTTAAAGGTTGTACACATTTTAAACAGCTGTAAAATATTCATTTTTGTTTTGAATAAAGCTGGAGAGTTGATAACAAGGTGATACTTAAAGATAACGTATATCCCAATATTTGAATATTGTCTACCTTATTTGTTTCTGATATGATGGATGAGTCAATACTTGAAACAATGTTTTTCACTGGTTTGTTGGTAGATGATTCAATAGCTAAAAACGTTATGTTGATTCACTTTAAATTGGTTGATGATTACAAAGTTATAGTCAATAGAGCAAGATTGTTTTTCACTTGCAAAGTTGGAAAATAAGTAACTATAAATGGCATTTTGTTAAATTGTAATTTGATAGCTGAGTCAACGTCTAAGAAGTGTTTGTTCACTTATGTGTTGATTGGGGAATCATTAGCTGAAAATGGTGTTTTATTTATCTTCGACTTTGTAGAGAAGCTAACAGTTATAGATGGTATTTTTTCATTTATAAGTTTATTGCGAAGTCAAGATGTGATGATGTTTCCCTATAATTTTGTAGAAGAGCTAGCAGATGTTTTTGTTTGCAACTTGTAAGTTGTTTATACAGTCTAAAACGGTGTTTTTCACTTGCAAAGCTCACAGATGCTTTATTAAGACTATTTTTAACTTTGATAGACAAATCAATACTTAAAACCACATGTTTAATTTGCAAGATGTAGATGATATAGCAGAATAAATTGGTGATGTGTTTGCTCAATTTTATACTGGCAGCCCACCAGTGGCACGTCGGTATGTCTGCGGACTTATAACGCTAGAAACAGGGTTTCTATACCCGTGGTGGACAGAGCACAGATAGCCCATCGTGTAACTTTGTGCTTAACTTCAAACAAAGAAATAAATTATATTGGAAGAGGAGTTAACGGATTAAAAATATGTTTATTTTCAATTTTAAGTTGGAGAAGGTTTGGTTAGTTTTGAATTTCGCACAAAGATAAACGAGGGTTGTCTGCGCTAGCCGTCCCTAATTTAGCAGTAATAGACTAGAGAGAAGGCAGCTAGTCAACATCACTGCCAACTTTTGGGCTACTCTTTTACGAACGAACAGTGGGATTGACAATCACATAATAACGTCCCCACGGCTAATAGGGCGAGCATTTTCGGTGACGGAGATTCGAACCCGCTATCTCCAGATTGCGAGTCGAGTGCCCTACCACCACCAAGTTGTAGAAGGACCAGCAGGTGAAGATGGCTCGCTTTTCATTTGCATTGTCAGTAACTGAATTAGTAGGTAAAGACTGACCTTTTTTGAACTTAATCTTTTAAGTTCTTAGAGGGTTCTTTTACTGAAGATTTGGTTTTCATCTGTAAATTAATATTCAGACTGTTTGTATTTAACTGGAGAGTTTGAGGCCGTACAAAAGTAATTAAAATAACGCTTATCAGTAAATTATTCTTCTAGCATTAACAATCAAGTATGCTTTTAATTACTTTTGTAAGTCCTAAAAAGTTATTGAAGTAAATGTTTAACTAGCTCCTTTTAAGTTATGTTAACTAAAGAGATTATCCTAACCTGGTAGAAGAAGAAAATATTAGTTGAACTACAGTTTGAGTAAAGAGAAGTATGTGAGACTGCTGTTCTTAACCTTCTAAATATTACCTAATCCGACTTTGTCAAACTTTAACAAAAAGAATAAGTAACTAAAGCTCATTGTCGGAAGGTTTCAAAGTAATACACTAACCTCAATGTTTGATGACTCATACCAAGGCTGTCGTCCGTAAGTGAATACTTCCCACAGGAGTACTCCAAAACTCCAGACGTCTGATTCAGCTGTGAATTTACGGTGTAGAATACTTTCTGGAGGCATCCAACGGATTGGCAACATCGTGTTTTTGCCAACCTGGTGATATAAAAATAGAATAAAACATGGTAACATACAGCAAGAACTACATATAAAGCAGTAAATGTTTTTTTTTCTTCAGAAAATATAAAAATTGCTAAAATTCACAAAAAAGCGAATATTACTAAAACTATGTTAACCTCAAACATTAATAAACACACGGTATTAAAATAAATTAATAGCATGTTAACTATGAAATAACGAAGGAACTAATAATCTTTTCTCATATCTCCCCTGATAAGACGTGGTTAGTTAACTCACAATACCCATTTCTTTCTTCAACAGCTTGAAGTATGCAACAGTTGAACTTATATGTTGTGGAAGCGATATGTGTAGATGTGACTTGTGTCGCTTTTCCATACGGATCCCTCTTGATTATGTTGCATAATGTTGCCTGAGGTTTTTAACGTCTTTTGCCACTGACCTTTATGTTTGTGGATTCTCACCTATTACCACGAATGGGGTACGACTTTTTGGGTCTCTTTGTGATTGGTTCCAGTTCCCCAAGTTGATCCATATTCCTTTGTTTTCCAATCCCACTAAGCACAAGTGATATTTCCACCTTGAAAATTCTAAATCACATATCTGAATACATGTTTGTATTTTTGGTGTGTGAATATTTTATGTTGATTAATTTTGGTGACATCATATTACTTATGTCATACCAAAAAATTAAAAATGTAGTCCTGATGCACTCTGTTTTCTCCGTGACTTTACATAAACTGTAGTTGTCACGTGAGTTTCTGTTTGGCATATTCAAAATCATTTTAATAAAATGAAATCGACCATTCTGTAGTGATCTTTGCACTCATCTTCCATTTGGAGATATCTATATGACATTCTTCAAATTGATTTACGTAGATTGTTGAATACACTGAAAATGCTTATACTGACCCTCTGTTTCAGTTTAATTAAGACAATTTCTGCCTGTTATATAATAGCATTGACACAACCCTATCAATAAGTAAATACACATCAATTTTAGAAGAAATGTCTCTTACATATTACCATTAGAATATAGTGAGTTAGAAGTTTGTAACATTTAAGGCATTACAAATCGTATTTAAAAGCTCTGTAATCTGAACCTTTAGAATTGAACAAAACTTCTGGCAACTTCTGTCACTAAAAATTGGTTGTTTAGGATGCTTTTGCAAGTAACAGTCATGGATGGATCCGCATGCTCAATAGGGCTCATATCTGAAGATTGGCTTGACTGTGAGAGAGTGGTTATGCATTGATCATTAAAGTATTGTTTTGTGACTCGTTGTGAATAAGTAGGAGTCCCATTTTCCATGAAGACACTGCAATGTCTAGTAAGCTGGTCATTGGTGTACAGAGGTAGAAAATCTTCGAGAATTGTCATGTATCAAACAACAGTGATCATCCTTTGTATAACACCAACTGGCATCGTCCATTTGCCCGAATGGTGGCCATTGTAACGGAAGTCCCTGCCGTATCTTGTCGTGGCTTTGAGAGGGTACAGAAAAATGTGCCACTGTCAAAATATTTTGTAAGTCTGTAAGTCAACCCGAGTAAGAGTACTAGGAAAATAAGGTCAAAACAACCCGAATAAGAGTACACGCCAATTCTTTAACGAGTCAGATTCAAAATATTCTCTAAGCTATGGTTAAATCCAAACTATCCGTTTAAAGCAAAAAATCATTTTCACCTTCTGTAACTCAGATTGGCGCGCTAACCACCATGCCATGCTTAGTCATTCGATAACATTTCTGGTCTACAAGGACAAATCAGAGAATTCTAACATTTAAGTATAGATACCTCTAATTGTGAACTACTGACCAGAGAGAGAAAGCAGCGAGTCAGCAGAACCCATAGCCATAGAATCTATAGTCCGAGTCTTTGAACCAAATAACGAAATTGACTAATAACACAGACCCGCGAATTCAGAATTCATAAAACTTGTTTTGGTTTTTAATAACAAAATTTTCCATAATTCAGCTACGCAGATTTCAAACATTTTTTTTTTCTATCACGTAATGTTTTTCACAAATCGGGCAGAAAAACCTCTTACTTAGATCAAATTATTATTTCGTTTACCACAATGAGCATATCTTATTATTATTATGTGTGTTTCTTGTGGGTTTTAGAACGATCGATAAGACTCTCATGATTGGTCAACGGTAGATTTTCTAAACGTAGTGATGAATAAGTATAAAATGTGTTGTTAACCCAATGCCTTCGATAATATCGTATATTCAGTATGATTGTCTATGGGCCGTTTAGAACCATATTTTGTAAGTTCATGCGTTATTTGAATAAGAAAAAAATAGCACTGCGTTTGTTTTTAAGTGAAGGAGATTGACTGCAATACAATGTTGGCCAAAATGTTTGAGTTTCGATGCGATGGGTGCATCCAGCACAACAGAGCGCTCAGGTTCACTAAGTAGCAGCGAGCATTTTTTTTCCGCTTGGTGCCACCATTCCTTTTCATTTTACTGAGTGCAAGAAAAGACTGCTACGGAAATGAGAGCTTTTTGACAGTTGTTATATCTATAAGAAGTGTCAAAGGGAGATATTCAATTCAAATCACTATATTCGACATGGTAAAATAAATAATACCGACATGAATATATATATATATATATATATATATAACAACAAATATCGCAATACCGTTGTCGGTTCTGGTTGTCAACTTATTATCATAACGGATAATGTCTGTGGTTCGACATGGTAAAATAAAATAATACCGACATGAATATATATATATATTAACAACAAATATCGCAATACCGTTATCGGTCCTGGTTGTCAACTTATTATCATAATGTCTGTGGTAATAGCACCCAAATGTGTTGGGGATATCCCATCTATCAGACAAGATCCCCAACGCATTAGGGTGCTATTACCACAGATATAATCCGTTATGACAAATAAGTTGACAACCAGAACCGATAACGGTATTGTGATATTTAATTCATTATTGTTTTATAGTGCTGATTTAATCCCCTATAGACAATTAATGTAATCAATAGTTTGTAAGCTATTTATTGACAACAAATATATGCTCAAACACGTTCCTCTCTTTATGCGTTTTTTTCTTTCTCGTTCATGATCCTACCTTTGAAATGTTTCCTTCAATCAGTCGATGGACAAAATCCCGTTTTTTCGTGAAATTCTCTCACCAAAAGAAACATTTTTATTATTAATTAGTGTTTTTTTCTCAAATCGACCGTTCAACACATACGAAAACTGAAGAGCCGATATTGATATGGATATAAGATTTTATGAATTTCAAACAATCAATAATTTTCCTGTAATGTACTCTTGAAAAGGAGCACTTTGATAGATAATCCTAGTTTAACCGCTCAGGATATACAGAACGTGACACACAGACATTTGGCTATGATATATATATATATATATTGGTGCAGTTTTGAGTTTTACATTCACTTATACATAAATTACGTTTTTAAATAAATATACTTTGTAATTCAATTTATAGATTATTCAAAAACTACTTACATCAGAATATGGTTTAACTTATTTTAAATATATTTTTTACCTCTCTTTAAACGCAAGATTTTAGTCCTAATAAGGCTTTCCTTTTTTCTTTCTTCAAATTATTCAGTACAAATACGGATTTTTTTAATAAGTTGACAGTAAAGGTTAATTCAACGTTTCTTAATTAAACCATTTTTGTTCTTATAAAGTTGTAATATCGTACTTGAAAATTATTAATTATATCTTATTGAAGATATAAATAACATTTTTACGTTGTCTCATGTAATTAATATTTCTCTTTTGCTCTACAAACATAGAAATACTTTGAACGACAATGACACTTCCTTTATATTATCATCCTCCCTAAGGTATCACATTGACTAGCGGAAAAAAAGAGCATTTTGAATTTGTATTACAAAATACCTCTTACTCTGTTCGTGAAGAATAGTTACGTATTAGTGTTGGTGCAAATTAGGTAGCAAGAGGGATGTGGGTTAACCCTCGAGATTGAAACGTTTTACAGTACATCATCTCTGATTATAATGATTTCAAGAATATAAGCTTATAAATAAATTACAGCTCAAAATAACGCAGTGTATTGATATCATTAACTTAATGCATATGTGATGTTCTAAAAACAGTTAATGCAGCTATTTCTATTTCTATTTTGTATTCATGGCAAAGCTACCAAAACATTCCCTAGTTTCGAACTTCTGGATAGAGGGAACAAAGTCAACAACATCTTCCCCTACCATTCATATAAACGGATTGATTGTCACTCTTATCTAAAACTTAAAATACAGGAAACATTTTATGGTATAGCATGGATTCGAACAAAGTTTGTCAGTTTCGAAATGCAGAGCTCCACTACAAAGCCAACCCACACCCAGCCAGCAGATCTCTACTACAGAGCCAACCCACACGCAGCCAGCTATCACTGAGTATTTTTTCATGGAATCAGAGAAACTTGAAAGAAATATCATGTTACAGTTAGAGACAATTCAAGATTCTATATCAAAATTAGTTGAGAATATTTTTAAAACATCCAAACACCTAGTAAGAAGAGATTCGTGACAAAAACCAATAATTAAAGTTTACAAGTGTTGATCCCATAACTTGTAATATATAGTTTTCAGTAAACAATACAACTTAGAATAAGACATCTTTTATATTTTCTTCACTAAATACGTCTAAAAGATGAATTATTTGTATTTCATCAGTCTGAATTATACATGTCAAGACTGATGAAATACAAATAATTCATCTCGACATGTATTTCAACAATAGCCTTTTAGGGATGAGTAGTTTAGTTTTCCCTGCTAAAAGTAAAACATGAACAATATCGATAATATATAGAATATCATTATAGATTAGGTTGTTTTTTAACAGAGGGTTTGTATTGTTGTTTAGTGAGGGAAAGGTTTGACGGTGCATGATGAACGCGTATTATAACCTTTAGAATTTTCTTGAAAATTTAAGGAACGATCTGGACAGTATAAAACGTTAGTTAGGCTAGAATAAATGTATTATTGTTTATTGAGTTTGATAGTAAGTTCCAGTGAATCTGAAGTAGTAAAATGTTATCTTATTGAGTTTGTCAGTCATTCAGTTAGTTTAGTGTTATTGTTCTTTAGTTCATATTTTGACTAAGTCATGAGAGATATGCTTTACGTTTCGTACAGCGAGAGGCTTAGCGAGGAGTGTATTAGTGCGTGCTGTGAATTTGGCCATATCAATACTTTAGAACGTTTTTTTATCATCAGATGGACAGGATTTTACATTATACTCTTTTCACAAACGAACCTACCTAACATCAGCAAACTTTACAACAATTTAACGTAGCACATTTAAAAATATTTTGTTCTGGAGTAGTAACGTAGTAGTTTGCAAGTAATCATTGATATTATAAAACATTATCATTAAAATCGTTTTAATCAAACATATGCAAACTCAAAAACATAGAGAATGAAACCTTATAATTTTATATCGTTAAGCATGTGATGCGCTTTGTTAACTTTTATCGCAAACACACACAACAGGCTATCTGCGTTCAGTCTACTGCGAGGAATCGGATGCTGGATTGTAGCGCTGTAAGTCGAAAACAGTGCATGCGCAAATAACCTGTAATGAATGTCAATCAGCAACGGGAATAAACATATTTAAATAATTTTGAATAACCGAGTTGGAATGGCTGAAAGTCAATTTCATTCTATGATCTAAAACGTTGAGGAAATTATTATCAAGACCGTGATTCCAGAGCCAAAAAATATCATCGATAAATATCGTGTTTAGTGTTGTTGTTTTTAAGAATACTTGTTTCAAATGTGTGCGTAAATAAAACTATAAAGACAACAGCTACACAGTTGCCCATTGTAACACCCTTAACTTGGGATGTAAAATGTGTCGCCGAAACGAAAGCACCCGTTGTGGAGGATGAGATGTAGGATGCTTCTGATGTTGTCGCCTGTTAAGCCGTACATCTTCAAAGTGACTGTTTGGCTTCTTACAGAGAGCCAGAGTTACTGCGACGTCTAGCGTAAACATAATAGTGTTTACCACTCTCAAGTTTTTATATATTTGATTTGATTAAAGAAATCCTGTGTATTCTTGAAGTTTGTTGATACATAGCATGATAAGGGTTCTTTACTTAGTATACGGGACAAACGTTCAGTTGCTCCATCATACCATCCCTACTTTATATTCTTTGGGTATTCCATATAGCTCTGGTATGTATGCAACTGTTGAAGGTTTAAGATTCTACAGTTTTAGAAGAGAAGATTACAGTCTTTTATTAAACCATGAAAACGATCTTTGACCAACCATTGAGCAATAACTCAACCAAAAAAAAAGTTATGTATAACCATATATAACTTTTTTGATTGGGTTACTGCTCAGTGGTTGTTATGTTTGTTCGTCGGATAAACGTTCCAAGATTTGTGTTTCGTACTATTGTTGTTCATAACCACGACATATTTAAATTTATCTCAGTATTTGATAACAATACTGTTTTATTTCTTCAAGTTTAAAAATTTGGTTTGGGTTGATAATTCATGTGGAGTAAAAGAATATTATAAATCCTTCTTTTGACATCGCCCCCCCCCCCCCAAACCACCAGTGGCTCATTGGCAAGCCTGAAGGTTTATAACTCTAAAAAATGGAGATACCCCGACGGGGAACAACACAGATGGTCCAATATGTAGCTTTGTGTTTAATAAAACAAACAAGTAGTTCTGACATCAAAAATGACAACGTGAAAAATATGTTGTTTCAAAGAAATAACAGTAAAATGATTAACTAGAAAAATATTTTTTCCAATGTTTGTATAGTCCAGGTGGCTAGTTTTAGGCGTGTTCTGTCGGTATAGTTGAGGATCAGATAATTAATTTTAGTTGTGCCGGATCGGTAATATTGATGACTTGGTGGCTAGGATATGTACGAGTTCTAACAACTTGTGTCTTGTGTCCATCATTACCTATTAACTAAAATGCAACATCTGTGATTAGGCATACATAAGAGAGATAGGGCAGCCCCTATATACTAGGATAAGAGAACACTTGGTTGCCGTATTTAAACAGCAGTCAGAGAAATGTGTTCTAACAGCTTATTGTGTGTGTTTAATCATGGTTTAATATCTCTGGATGCAATTCCACCAAATATATTTGCTGAAGTTGAATACATCGACAGCAAAGTTAAAGAAGCTTTTCTTTTCCGACAATATCGACCCCAGATGAATAGAGACAGGGGATGGAATATGTACGTTGTTTTATGGTTACTGTGTATTTGTTGAAGTAAAAAGAGGTTTTTTAATGTTTTGTGATTTTGTAAAGATAATTGTTGGTACGGTAATTTTTATCTTTAGTGCAAAAATATTTGTATATCAATAAACACATACTATTTAACTGCACTTTCCTTAAAACGTGTCAACAATATAATGTTCGAGGATATATCGCATTTACACTCGTGAGTGAGTTGCACTAATTTAAGAATACTCAGTAATGTAAGTTCAAATTTAAAACTTTTACATAACACTTCCGAAGAAACCGTAAAACGAAACATTGAATAAATATAGTTTTTTCTTAAAGTGTTCTGGTGATTTTCAAACAGAGTTTCCTTTAGTTCAATCAGTACTGCGTAAGGTAAACAATAAAAAAAGGTAGATAAGAGAAGAGCAACAGATACTAATGGGATTGTATCATAAAGATATATCTTTGAAGTTTTTCTTTTCATGTGGAATAAAAAGAGGAATTTGTTGTTGGTTATTAATTTGTATCTAAATGTGAAACTTTTAGACACTTTGAAGTTGTAGTTTTTGGTTTCACTTTGAGTTTTAAATGGCGTACAATCCCAAAAATTGAAAGAAAAAATAGTAAACATGTAAAATGTATACTGAACGAAGAAAACAACCGTTTATACATACTCTGTAGTAATCAGTACTGTACACATCACGTGACATGCCAAAGTCTCCTATCTTTACCACCAGAGGGCCTCCAACAAGGCAATTTCTGGTTGCTAAGTCCCTGTGAACAAAATGTTGAGATGCTAGATATTCCATTCCACACGCCACTTGAACAGAAATATTAAGGAGTTGTGAACAAGACAAAATCTCGAAGGGTTTTCCATTGGAATCATACACCACTAGATCGGGACTTCTATTCCTAGAAAAATAAATTTGTTTTTAATCAATCACAAATAAAAGAAAACCTTTTAACAGATAACATGTTGTTTTGAAATCTTTGTTACCTCAAGAAGTTGTTCAAATCCCCAAGTTCCATGTACTCAAACACCATCATTGGAGGATCACTGTCTATTGATACACCATAGAAACGAACTATGTTATCGTGGCTTAGGTTGGCTAAAAGCTGAACTTCTCTGGTGAAGTTATGCCAAGCTTCATCGTGGTCGATATCTTTCAAAGTTTTTACAGCTACCATAGTGGTGGGCTCTTCACGTGTTAAGTAGTCTACTGTACCCAGGTACACACGTCCGAACGCCCCCTCACCAAGGATCTGGATGAAGCTGATCTTCTCCTGAGCTATGTAGCGAATTTCTATACATCCAAGTAACAAGACAAGTAATATCACCAGTTTACTTATACATCCAAGTAACAAGACAAGTAATATCACCAGTTTATTTATACATCCAGGTAACAAGACAAGTAATATCACCAGTTTACTATGTACATCCAAGTAACAAGACAAGTAATATCACCAGTTTATATATACATCGAAGTAACAAGACAAATAATATCACCAGTTTATATATACATCGAAGTAACAAGACAAATAATATCACCAGTTTATGTATACATCCAAGTAATAAGACAAGTAATATCACCAGTTTATCTATACATCCAAGTAATAAGACAAGTAATATCACCAGTTTATC